CAATTCATTTTAAAAAATACCTGAAAGATGTTTCTATTAATTGCTGTTCACTTTCACCAGTGTAATCTGAATTTTTGATTGAAGAAAAATTTAATACCAAAACTAATAAACTGATATAATTACAACTTCAACTGAGAATTTTAATAATTTCATTAAAAATTCAATCAATTAAAATTATCAGATGAATTTTTTATATAGCATTTTAATTTTACATCAACCTCAAAACATTCGATATAGGCCTATTGATGTTCTTTATTAAATCATTAACAACTATTTTCTGCCTTTGTACTGTTTATAGGCGTCTAACTAAGTCTTCATATATAAAATTAATTTAATAAAATTGATGATAATAACCTTTAATTTTATCTGAATTATGTAGAAGATTTTAGAGCACAAAACTTATTTCTCTCATTATTATCATAAGGATATAATATTTTTTTTTTTTTGATCTAAAATCAAAAAAGCAAATCATCAAATTCAAAGATAATAAATGAAATACCTCATGAAAAAAATTATTCCGAAGAAAACTACCCTATCAATTGATACAAATAAATCTTCTACATGACAAGAAATAAAGAATGGTGATCTCAACATTTTCTATTAATATACTACAACATGTCTATCAGGATCATTATTTCCTTATCAAAAATTAAAATAATCTATTTTCTCTCTTTACAAACAAAAGCTAAAATCCCTTGTGATAATGATTCTATGGTGTGCAAAATAAAACAACATTCCTAATTAAACTGGATAAGATGACATTTAATAAGAACTATACAAAAAAATAAAATAATTAATTATTTATATTTATTAAATTTAATAGAAATACAATTTTATATATTATTATTTTAAATATTTTCAAATGGAATCTGTGCAAAGGTTTTAAGAAGAATTAAAATTAAGAACTCAATAGTGTATCTAGAGTATGGATCAATTTATTGAAGTAAAATATACCCCTTTTATATTAGTAATCCTATGATAGAATCAATAACTTTATTGATTTGATTGAAGTTAACATGTGTTAAAAGCCAAAACACATATAAGAGCCAAGTTCCAAGTTTGTTATACCAAAGCCTTCTGAAATTATTGTAGAGATCAATTTAAATATAATTTCTGATGATCTAAAATATATTAGGCAAATATGTTAATTAATAGTCTTTATAGGTTAATTTCATACAAAGAACAATAGGATAAGATGTATGAAAGCAAAGATGATCTCTCAAAAATATTAGCTTATGTGAAAGATATAGATGAATCAATATTCAAAGAGATTATAAATATACTTAGAAAGGAGAAAATTTCAGATTGCCTAAAATATCTTTCAAAGACTGAAAATCTTGAGCATTTAAATTAGGATGTTTAAAAAGAAATGAAGAAAATAAAAAACATTATGTACAATATTAGTCAACATGAATTTAATAAAAAAGATTATTCTACAGAATCGTACAGAAAAACTAAAAAGGATCTAATTAAAAAAATAGGATATGATTAGAAGACAATCGAATTTTTAAAATTTTTAGTTCACCTTACAGCTGTAGATGAATAATTCAAATAATGTGGATCAAATTCTTTAAACTTATTAGTTGACATGAAGGTTGATCTCTCCCATTCATGTTTTGCAAATATCCGATTAAAGAATACTTCTCTTGTAGGTGGAAATTTTGCTAGATGTAATTTTAATGAATCGGAATTTGATAATGTAGATATAAGTGGATTGAATTTAAATGGAGCTTAATTATTTAATTGTAAATGGAAGAACTTAAAAATACAAAAATTAAATACTTTAGATGGTCATTCTAGTAGTGTCTTGTCTGTATGTTTCTCTCCTGATGGTACTTTATTAGCATCAGGCAGTTTGGATAACTCAATCCGTTTATGGGATGTTAAAACAGGATAATTAAAATGTAAATTAGAAGGTCATATTGGGAGAGTCTGGTCAGTTTGTTTCTCTCCTAATGGTACTTTATTGTCATCTGGTAGTTGGGATAAATCTATCCGTCTATGGGATGTTGAAACAGGTTTACAAAAAGCAAAAATGGATGGTCATTCTAGTAATGTCCTGTAAGTGTGTTTCTCTCCTGATGGTACTACATTGGCATCTAGTAGTTGTGATAATTCTATCCGTGTATGGGATAATAAGACAGGATAATAAACAGCAAAATTGGATGATCATACTAATTCTGTTCATTCAGTATGTTTCTCTCCAGATGGTACAACATTAGCATCTGGTAGTTGTGACAAATATATTTGTTTATGGGATATAAAAACAGGACAACTAAAATTTAAGTTTTAAGGTCATATTGGTTATATAAATTCAGTATGCTTTTCGCCTGATGGTACTGCATTAGCATCTGGTAGTTGTGATAATTCAATCCGTTTTTGGGATGTTAAGACAGGATTATAAAAGACAAAATTGGATGGTCATAGTCGTGAAGTAAATTCAGTGTGCTTCTCTCCTGATGGAGCTACATTAGCATCTGGTAGTTGGGATAATTCTATCCGGTTATGGGATGTTATGACAGGATAATAAAAGTTTTAATTGTATGGTCATAGTCGTGAAGTAACCTCAGTGTGCTTCTCTCCTGATGGAACTACATTAGCATCTGGTAGTTGGGATAATTCTATCCAATTATGGGATGTTATGACAGGATAATAAAAGTTTTAATTGTATGGTCATAGT